TCTCTATACTTTCTTGGAAAGTATGATGTAATGTTGGCTATTGTGGTCGTTTTATCAAACACTATTTGAGGTACTGTTTCGATGTTGTGTTCTGATAATGCTGTCTGCGTGGCGTGTTTTAGCCTGACATCATGTTGATATTCTTTTATTCGTAGGTTGACCATTCTTCCGGTTTCTCCAATGTATACTTGCCCGCAGGAACAAGGTATTTTGTACTTTTGCGAAGCTGTAGAGGTCTTTGATCTTTAGGATCTCTTAAAATTTGTCTTATCTCTTTGGATTGGTTGAAGATAGTTCGGATATTATGTTTGTTTAATATCCTGCCAATCCGATCCGTTGTTCCTTTGACATATAAGAGAATCCTTTTGTCTTGTTGTATATCAGAGATCGTGTCTTGTTTGTATGTTTATTGATTATTTTTGGTATGTCTTTCGTGTCCATTTTTTTGTAAGGCTAGTTTAAGATGGTTAAATTCTGTCTGTAGAAGTACTTGTCAGGTGAAAGTTTTATGTGTTATACAAGTGAATTTATTGCTGACTGTTTTTGTGCTGGGTGATTTGGCATGTAGGTATCTATCTGTGGTTTTTTATTATATATACTTGATTGCCTAAGGTACCATCAGCTGTCTTGGAGATAGGAATATCTAAAAAGAGGAATTTTCCGTTTTCCTCTATGTCTATAGTGGAGCGGATATTTGGATGTTGATTGTACAAGGAATTTACGGAATTCGGCTCTGCTGTGTCTCTATATCACAAATGTGTCTAACGGAACCAAATTTTTGGTTTTTTAAATGTTTTTCTGAGGGCCTCTCTCAAAATGTTTCATGAAGATGGCGATTACAGAAGAAATAGGAGAGACTATCACCGTTCCTGAAGTTTGTTCATAAAATTGATTGTTGGAGAAGTAAGTGACAACTCAGTGTCAAGGCTGCCCTGATAATGTGGATTGCAAGGTTCATAAAACGTTGGCATTTCAAGAATAGATCTAAACACGAAGAAAACCCGCGAAACGCATAGAAAGCACCCGTGGAAGCCTCAAGAATTATTAATTATAAATATGTATAATTATTACTTATACTATATTAGGTGTGGGAAAAAGTTCGTGGTGTTTTTTTAATGTCATCTAACGGGAAAAGCGTCAAACTTTTTCCCCTAATATATAATACTTAAAATAACGTTAATGTCCTTTTTCTCTTGTACACAAGTAGGGATGTGCAAAAATTATATTTATCGATATTTAGAAAATATCGAGGTTTACTCATCATTTTCAATGTTTTGCCATTCGTTCACAAACTGAGATATTTCGATGTTTCATCGGTATCTTGTGTTCGATTGCTGTGTTATGTTTGTTCCAAAGGAGGGTACTTTTTGATAGTTTCCCGACCACTCGGGAATCGTTTTATTTGTATATTTTTCTTATGTATTTTTTTCGTAGAAACAAAAAATAATCATTATAATAACGCTAGACTTAAGGAAAAATTGCTACATTGAAATAAAATGGAATAAAATCTTTATTCGCATCGTTATGAAAAAAATCTATTATTTATGGTTTAATGATTTAGAAATTAATTTCAAATTGGATCAAATGCGAGTAATTGTACTACAAAACGTTAATTAGATTATATTTCTCATTACGATATTTGTTACAAAATATTAATAATCCTATGAAAAATATAAAAATTTGAAAATATCATAATACATTAATTATTGCTTTCTAACTAATCCTCTTTACGAATCATTTTCTATTTCATCATTTTAGATTTGATTTATATCGACTAATATATTGATAGGTGGCAACGAAAAAGTTCTCTTATTTCACAAAGTCACTCGTCCCTAACGCGTACAGTTTACGATAGATGCGCTTGAAGTGGGGGAAACGATATCGAGATGACAAATGGGAAATATAATGAGAAATATAATTTAATTTTTTGTGATGCAATATTACTTGTATTTGATTCAATTTGGAATTAATTTCTAAATTATTAAGGCATAACTGACAGTGATTTCATAACGATGCGAATAAGGATTTTATTCAATGTACTAATTTTTCTTTAAATGTGGCGTTATTATAATGATTATTTTCAGTTTCTACGAAGAAAAATACATAAGAAAACATACAAATAAAACAATCCAAGAATGGTCGGGAAACCTTCGAAAATTTGTATCCTGAGATACTTTACTGAGAACGTTACGCCGGAATGTTATAATAATATGTATTTTATTTAAAGTGTTAAAAATATAACCGTTATGGACTTCAATATTCTTATTGTATATTCATTACATTACGGTCTTAATAAATCATTTATTATAATTTTTTATAAACGCTACCTGTAAAATGCGTGTTTCTATATATCGATTATTGCGAAGAATATTACTAAGAAGTCTAAAGGCTTAGGATGTTCGTACGGAATACAAGAGATTCGGATTTAACTCTCGGCCGAGGTATTAGGTGTACAATTTTGCTTCCGCCGTTTTTTTCCGAAATTCGAGGCTTTATTGTAAAAAACTGATTATACATTTATAATTCAAAGTATTGTCCATCGCTGGCCACTACTTTCTCCCATCTTTCGGGTAGCGTACGAATCCCGCGTCGAAAAAACTGGTCATTTTTTGAGGCTATCCACGAATCGACCCAATTTTTTACTTCTTCATAAGACCGGAAGTGCTGGTCAGCCAGGCCATGTGCCATTGATCGAAACAAGTGATAATCAGAGGGAGCAACGTCTGTAGAATACGGCGGGTGAGGTAGGACTTCCCATTTCAACGTTTCCAAGTATGTCTTGACCACTTTCGCAACATGGGGTCGAGCATTGTCATGCTGCAAAATCACTTTATCGTGTCTCTTGTTGTATTGCGGCCGTTTGTCTTTCAATGCTCGGCTCAAACGCATCAATTGCGTTCGATACCGATCGCCTGTGATTGTTTCAGTCGGTTTTAACAGTTCATAATACACTACGCCGAGCTGGTCCAACCAAATATAGAGCATGACCTTGGACGTCAAAATCACCGTTCTTGAAGCGTTGAAATCACTCACGACACGTTCTTTCACTAATAGCGACCTCACCATAAGTATTTGAGAGCATTCGATGAGCTTCAGCCGCAGATTTCTTCATATTGAAGCAAAAAATTAAAACCTCCCGCAAATGACGAGAATTTGGCTCGTAAACTGACATTTTCAATCGAGAATAACTTTATGATGCAGACACAAATCGACTAATGTTTCTATGGGGTTATGTTGACAGATGCCCAAGTTTATTGTATGACGTCTATGATCTATTTATTTCTACCACTTACTGCTAAAGCCGTCTATAGGAAAACGGCGGAAGCAAAGTTGTATACCTAATATACCATAATGTTGCAATATTACAAAAATATCGCAGAAATATTCCTGCAATGGATTTTTTGCGGACTTTTATTATTGTAGCAATATTTATACAATATTATTGGTATATTACTATGGAATATTATTATAATATTACTACAGTATATAGAAATACTATCGCAATATTCCAAAATATTATTATAATGTAGTATTATAATGTAGAAATATTGTCTAATATTACAATAATATTACAAAAATATCGTCGAAATATTTCAGCGATAATTTATCACAGACATTTAATATTGCAGCGATTCATACAATATTCATACAGTATTACTGACATATTACCATGCAATATTACAGCAAATTTGTAATATTATTATGAGATTACTAGAATATTATATTTTGTGTGGATAGACAGTCTAAACTGGAGTAATATAATGACAAGTGGTTTTTACATAAGTAAATAGTACTAATAAAATAGATTTAAAAAAAGCACTGTACATTTCAAACATTTATCGTATGTGTATTTAAATGACATATGGATTTAACATAATAGGTGTAGTAAAAAGAAATCCATTATTTTTGCATGAAATTGAATGGAAAAATAATATATTTCTTTTTACTACATCTAATATATACTTCTTTATAACACAAGAAATGAAAAATATTTTTTATTTCAGTTATAACAAATTTTAATAAATAACGTTGTATCAAAGTTACAGCAATAATGTAAAATAAATTAAAACAGTATTATAGAGACATCAGTAACATTATATTATATATAATTATTATTAATCTTAAATATTATTAAATATTTTAAATTAAAGAAAATAAATTTGGTTTAATAATAATTGATTCATTATGTTTGAAATTGTATATCTTTAAGTTATTATTATGTACGTTTTGCTTTCATAATAGTGCACACGGCAAAATATCCAAATAATGAAAACTTTGTAACATCTTAAATATATGACATAAATTTAAAAACTGCTATTAGTAAATTTAAAATGAATTTTTCTGTAAATATTACGTGTAATCATATACATGTGCGTCGTTTACTTGACAAATATTCTTGCTACTCTTTACCAAAAAAAAGGGTATTAATTTTTGTCTAATTGTGCGCTTAATTAAAAAGAAACATTATCAGAATAAACTTAAGTTTACTTTTTGTTATTACAACGTTTTTGAAATTTCTATTTCATACATAATGTCTCAAATTAAGAAAAAATATTTATGGTGTAAAGTTTTGCGTATACATAATGTAAAATTCCAATTATTTAGAATTAGATATTTTCCAAATGATACGGTAAAAATCAATGAAATGTTTTCTAGATATTATTAGTATAATTAATCTTTGTATTACATATACGTTACGGACTTGTTTTATATTTCATTAAATGTGAAAATCTCCTTAAATAAAATATAAGTTCTGATTGGCATTATTAAAAATACATATAGCCAAGAGTCTCGAACAGCATCGATTTTATTTCAAAGCAAATACTAAATTGTACTATATCTTATACATGTACACATAGATACTGAATATATTTGTCGCTTGTATTGCACGTTAACTAAAATGTGATCGCGAAAATCTTTAGCATTTCCTTTCTTTCTTTCTTTTTTCCTATCATAAAGATATTTACAAAGAAAAGAAAATTCCAAAATGTTATCAGTATTTAATTCATATTGTCGGTTGTCAGTGCCAGAGTAGTAAGTACCGATCGACGATTTGGATTCACTCCCAAATTTTCCCAATTTATCCAGGATAAGCGTGCCGTCAGATCTGCAATAATGGGTATAATATTTAATGTCTTAAAAAGTTGTAATATTATATATTTTACACAACTTAAATGATATTCATATTAATTTTATAATATAAATATGTAGTAATTTGTTCTAGGGATGCACCAGATATTCGAACAGTATTCGCTATTACTTTTTTACTATCTGACTGGAAACTGTTGGATATCATTAATATTCGAGAATATATCCAGTTGAAATTTTATATCATTAAATTGTTGATTTTTTATTATATAAATGTTTTATAAATGTTCTATAAATAAATGCATAATGCTACAATATTTTATATTGCTGCAAAATTACAATTTCTTTTTCTACAGTTATCACCTTTATATAATCAAACTCGGATGATAACATTAAAATTGTAATCATTATTTTTTCCTTTCCCTTTTCTTTTTTTGATCTTGAACTTTTTTTTTAGACATTGTCCTGGAATTCGATATCCGAAAAATATCGAGTGTTCAACTCAAAGAACCTTCCCGGATATCTAAATAGATATCGGATATCTGATGTTACATTTTTTTCGGATATCCACGGATAATTTCACGATCCGATGCATTCCTAATTTGTTCTAAATTAAATATTTGAGAGAGCTGTGTATTGCCAATCTGTATGATTTGGTTAAAATATTAAAACTACGTTTATATCTTAATGAAATAGAATAGAACATATGACAATTAAGAGATGCATCTTCATTGAAAACATGATAAGATTGATCGCGTTCAGCAGATTCAACTGTTGCGGAGCGGACTGTGAGCGCTTGCTGCTGGTATTGTGTATTCTTTCAGATCATCTAATATTAACAGCAAGCGCTCACGGATCTGCTCTGTAACAGTTAGTGCAATCCTATGATGCAGAACGTATGCGCAATGCGAAATTAGAACGATATCCGTCCAATCGCAAGGGTTCCGTCAATTGTATCAACATATTTTCTTATGTTCCCTGGAGCTAAACTAGTAAACTAGTAAAAGCGGTAATTGTATCCAATCACAAGAGATCTTATCCATAAACCCCTCTGTTGTATCTATAGGAACAGTTATATTATTGGCTCGCAGATTATGTTTCTGCATTTTCCCGCACCATGAGAGACACAAGGAAACGAACTCATGCGGACCGGAATCATACGTGTATATGATGTATATATTATCAAAATTCAAGAAATCCAATTCAAAACTCTACAAATCTTATTCAGTTGAAAATAACTTATTCGGTTAATGGTATTTTAAATAAACCAATTATTAATTTTTAAAAGAATATAGATTTGGAAAACTTGTTTTATATTATTTGCAGATTATTAAACTCATTAATATAGTGTTTATGTATTTAAAAAGAAGGAGTTGCGCCGCAAGATTGCAAAGTTATAATATGTATTATATAAACTTGCAAAAAGAAATAAAAATAAAAAATGAAAATATTGAGTGCGATCTATATTTAGTGAAAAGAGATTATAACAAGAAGCGAGTGACAATCCTATAAAAAGAAATGCTGATCGAAGATAGAGAAAAATATGTGGATTATTTTAGAATGCTATTTCAATTATTTGAAGTTTTTAGCTGAAGTTTTCGACATTTTATCTTCTTTGTAAAATCTCACAATTCCGGCCATTCTGTACCATTTCATACATTGCGTGCGCATAAAATAAAGAAACTTGCGGATAGAATCGGCGGAACGAATGTAAAACAAGTCTAACCAATCACGAGCATTTCGCCAATTCCGCATACGTTCCGCCATGGAATCGCGCCATGTATCTGCTGAACGCGATTATGTTTACTTTTCGAGGAATTTATATGCAAATTTATGCACGTAAATATCTTTCCAGAATGTCTGTTGACCTATTATTTTTTTGTGATCATTAAAATCATAATTTTTTAAATGATTATAATCTCATTTTTGAGAAAAGTCTATGGTGAGATTTGTGCAGTTTAATCAAAGATGCATCTGTGAGCTTTATCCGTCACTAACAATAAATTATATGTGAAAAATACATTTTCAACATTTTTTCCTCTTTTATTTCATCGTTAATCTACGTTAATCTAGAATTTTGCATATGTCAATTCCGATACTTCAACTTTATTATATAAAGAAATTAGACATTTCTATGGTAGCTCGATTTAAAGAATCATCTTAAATCTCATAGAACTGTACATGTGAAAACACAATTAATAGAAAATAAATGCCTTTAACAGTCTAATTGGATTTTATGTGCTTGTATAATTTTGTAATTTTATATTACGTATGTATATAAATTTATATATACTATATAGTCCTTTAAACTGCGTACTGAAATGATTTTTCGTTTTTGAAACTTTAAGACCAAAAAATTTCGGCGCGCAATTTAAAGGACTACATACTCGGTATATAAATTCATACAGAGTTATACAAGCATAAGATCCAGTTGGACCCTTAAATGCATTTATTTCTTATTGGTTAAAATATAATGTTATCATCTTCAAAATATCTTCTTTTAGAACTGAAAATTATATATTTAATTTCTATAAGGTAAAATATTCTGCAGAAAATAGTATTTCTCTTGTTGAGAATTTAATATTAAATTAAAGTCATTCAAGTTTAATTGTTTGTAATAATAAAGGAAAATTGCAAATGATGCATAAGTTTCCCAAAAGATATTCCTTTATTGCTCGTGAATTATTGTACTTTATTTTTCGGACAATATTGTAAATTATTAATAAAACATGGTCAACGAAGTAAAAACTTGTAATTCATATATAATATTTGTGATTTATTTCTACAATACAAAATCAGCTAAAAACGAAATTAAAAGACACAAAAATAAAATTTTTCTTTTACAAATTGCATAGTTTAAATAATTTAAATAGCTATTTAAATAGTTTAAATGACATATTTATAATATATTTTTTATAATATTATGTCGTTGTAGATGTTTGTAGTTTTATAAAGTCTTATTAATATTTCTTTCTTTCTTATTTCCTTTATGATACAGTTTTAAATATAAAATCGAGGTGCATCGTAAACTTGTCCTTAAAATATAAGCTAACATAATATTCAGTGTGTCCCTATCGGATCTAAAGACAATTAATTTTATATTTGTAGGAAAACTAAGAAAAAAATTCGCATTACACGTTTATGTCTTGCATGAAGTATGTATATAAATAAACAAAAAACATCTTATACCGAAACGAAAAGATTCTAGAAATGTTATTTACATTCACATGATATTTTGTATTAATAATTTCTGTGAGAACAAAGAAGAATATGAATATGTGGCATTACTGTTTACTATATCCATTTTGAGGACAATTTTGTCAAACACTTACTTTTATCTTACCAAAAAGTTAATTATTGCAAAATTGTAAAATAAAAATTGCTATGTTATTGTTGATAGAAAATACTTGCTAGTTTGTATTTATATTTCTAAAATTTTATTTTTAGCTTTTGTTTGTTTAAGAAATATTATCTAAAAATGAAGTGATATATCGATATCAGCGACCTTCCTCTACAACAAATTTAATTTTTATAATGCGGACAGAAATAGAGTCGGGATATATATTTTTTAAATTAGAAGAAAATACTTAATTTTTGACACAATTATTTATCTAATTCAGGCCTGTTCAATACTTTTCTCGCGATCTAAACGCTTTTACCCTTTCATTATCTCGTTAAACAAAAGAAAGAATACAAGAAAAAAATAGATAAATCTAAATGCTAGAATTAAATCAAGAACTGGAGTAAATCATGAGCAAAAATTTAATGCCACTTCTTTTTTTAATTTTTTCTATCTCATTTAACGAGATACGTAGAAGCGTTATCTCATGAGCAAAATGTTGGGAATGATCTAATTCATAGAATTTCTTTGAAATACAGTAATCGGCAAAAATAAAAAATCATTATATATACAAATATAAAACTGGTTTACTTCTTAAAATAAAAAAATTATAATATATACTTTTCAGTTTTCTGAATATGGCAATTAAGAAGCTCTTTTCCATGTTTTCTTCAAAATTTGAAGATGTCTTTACTGAAACTCGGGCTCGAAAATAATTTAATTTTTTTAGCGAGATAGTAAAACATACGAAAAAGAAAAAACAAATTTTTTTACGCATTAAACATCGCGAATGACTTTTGCGGTCACTATATTTCCCATTGAAATGAGTAATTCTGAATTCTAGACTTAAGAGAATCCTAAAGTCGTCTGTATTATCGACTGAACTATGTAATCTTTGTATAACAATTACTGTTCTCTTACTGAAAATCCTTTTTCAATCCAAGATTAAAGTATAGGCATTAATACAAGTTTGTGAGGTGAAGTCTATGCTAAGAAGTTTGTGAGGTGAAGTCTATGCTACGACAAAAAATTTCAGAAATGAGAATTTTAACCATTTTTTATAAGGGAAGAAATTTTTATAAGGAATTTTTTTAAAGGTTTTTTTAACAGTTTCACAACTGTTTGGAACCGATTTGATTCTCCATATTATTAAACATAAAAATCTAAGAGACATGTATTTTTTTATACGTGCGCTAATTCTTATGTTTAAGGGATGAAACACCCCTTAAAAAAAAACGATATTTTTCCTTCAAGGTGAATATCGGAAGTATAAAAGATAGAAAAAAATTTTTTAAACAAAATGATTTCCAAAGTACTTTAAAATTACAGATAAAAAAAATTTTGTTTATTTTTTTGTTTAATAAAATATCTCCATCACCCATAATTTTCTTAAATTTCAATTTTTTAAAAATAAAATTAAAAATTATTTTTTTACGAATTCAACCATGTGTAAATATATAATAAAATAAAATGTGTAAATATATAATAAAATCATATTACAATATATCATTTTTGAGAATTAATTATTAATGCTACCATATATATTAGGTATACAACTTTGCTTCCGCCGTTTTTTTTTCCGAAATTCGAGGCTTTATTGTAAAAAACTGGTTATACATTTATGATTCAAAATATTGTCCATCGCTGACCACTATTTTCTCTCATCTTTCGGGTAGCGT